AAAAAAAAAAAAAAAAAAGAAAGAAAAAGAAATAATGTTTTATTCTTACAAGATGATTAGAGTTAAACTACACACACACACAAAGGTGCATGTTACATACAGAAGACAGAGATTACATTAGTAAAGCACAGAGATGTGAAATCACATGTACATGGTAACCCTTAGTAATTTAACATTTTTAGCAGAGTGGCTTAAGGTTGGATGGGTAGTTTGGGGTATTTGGGCTTTCTCTAAATAGTGGAAGTTTAATCCGAAGAGTGACGTGGTTAGATTTACAAATTAACCTGGGAATATATTTAAGGGGAATGTGGTCTGAAGACAGAAATAGGCCATTTGTGCAGCATTCTAGAACCACTCTGATCCCAAAAGGCCTAAGTAATAATCAGTATGAAAAATTTCAGAATACAATAAAATATAAACTTTTCCTTCTCTGAGAAAAGACTGGCATTTCAAACATAGAAAAGAAAAAGTATATAAATGCATAGCATGTATTCTATGAAGTAGAATGCAGCAAATGTATATTCTACTGAGAATTGCTCATTGTATGAATTTGTTAGTGACCTAAGCTACACATTGAATATTGTTAATACTTAATATATATAATGTATATCTCAAGATGATCCTCTTGAAGCACATGACATGATTCCTTTTTCTTGTTTTCTCTATTTGTGTTTTTTTTTTGTTTTTTTGAGACAGGTTCTCATATGTAGCCCAGGCTGCCCTCGAACTTGCGGTAGTCCTTCTGCCTCAGCCTCCCAAGTGCTGGGTTACAGGCATGTGCCACCGCTTCTGGCTGCATCTATAATTTGACTAAAGGAGCCTGTAAACTTTTCTATGATTATTCCTCCCACAAATAAGTTGGTAAATGAGAACTCTAAAACTTTAGTTGATAATTTCTTTTTTTTTCCCCTTTGGCTTTAAAGCTGTGGTCAGCTACAACAAAATTAAGGAAAAGTATTGATTTTCTTTTCTTTTGATTTTATTAATTTTTTATTAACCTTGAATCCTCTGTCAGAGGAAGAGTTTCCCCACCCACCTCCACCCCACCAGTACTGCAGTTTAGCCTGGGGCACTCTACCCCTAAACTGTCCTCCAACCCTCTTTAGTTTTCTGTTTTGGTACAGGATCTGAGTTGCCCAGTTGAAATTGTGATGCTTCTGCCTCAGTGCCCCACCCCCCCTCTCCCATCTGGGATTACAGGTGTGTGCCACAATACCTGCTTGAGGAAGAGCTTGTGAGGGACCATCTATGTACTGATTTCATTTCCTTGAAATGAAAGATTAGAATGATGGAAGACCAATACAATTCTTTAGTCATCCATCAGATTACTCTGGGGAGGGTAGTAAGGAAATGTGAAGGTTTTTGTTTTTGTTTTTGCTATTGCATAATTAGTGATGGCAGGAAATAAACTAACTTTAAGAGCTGATGCTGGGGAAGAGAGTTTGTGTTTGAATCTTGCATTTACTGGATGTGGGACTGTAACCTTGACGTTTCATTTTTTCAGCTGGTATAGTAATAGCATTTCCACAAGGGTTTGTTCTGAGGAGTGAAATAATACAACAAATGTAAAAAACACTTAGGATAGTATTGATACATAGTAAGCCCTCATGTTATACACTCATTATTATTAATATTGTGTTTAGTAATAAAATTCATCATACTCTCCTTGTGAGGGATTTATTTTTTGTTTGTTTGTTTTTGGTTTTTGAGACAGGGTCTCACTGTGTAGTTGAGATTGAACTGGAACTCACTATGTAGCCCAGGCTGGTCTCGAACTCACTGCCTCAGCCTTCCGAGTGCTGGGATTACAGGCATGCGCCAACATGCCTGGCTTTGTGAGGGATTTTTTAAGGATAAAGGTATGAAATTTTTGGGTGGCCTGAACCAGGTGGCTTTAATTCACTGGGTAAACATCTAACTTCCCCAGCCTTCTTGTCCTTCATGGCTGCAGTACCTCCTTTCCTTGCATTATTTTTCCTCCTCAGATTCTCTTCTAACTGTAGTAGTAACACAATTTAGTCAGCCTTTTTTTTTTTAAGATTAGGAAAAATTTATTGTGGGAAAGAAAGCTTCTATCTAAGAGAGACAGAGAGGGGACCAGAAAGTGGGTTGCCCGCTCACCCTAATTTTATACACACCAAATGCTTTATACAGCAAAGCCATGTGGTGGGGTGGGTACAAAGTAGGAAAAAACTGTAAGACCCAGTGGAAAATTACAAGGTACGCATGGTGGTGTAAAACCATGACCAACCAATAAGATTACAAGTACGGTCACCCAGGAAATACTGATTAAATGTGCGTCAAATAGGGGAGCCAGTCTCCTAGCAAGCATACAAGGATTTCCAGTAAGGGTGGGGGTCAGGGATATTTCCTGGAAAGACTGGGTTAGGACCTTGGCCCCCACCCAGGTGATTGAAACCTCTTTAGAATGTCATTCACTGCTCTTCATCCCCAGGGGAAGCACAAAGGTTTAGTAGTTTCTCTCCTTTTACAATTCTGGCCTTCAGTGAGTGTGTCTTGATTGTCCTTCATGTTGGCTCCCTGTCTAACTGCCTACAAGATATCTAATTAACTTACCTAACCTTCTGTTTTAAACTGTTTATTTTATAATTTGTAAATCTTAAAATCTTAACCTTGACTGACTGAAAGACTGCAAATGTACTTAGGTCCGATCATGTTTGGTTGGTTGGTTTTTTACCAGTTCTGTGTGCTACCATTGCAACACACAGTATTAATAGCCAGTAGGTGTTGAGTTCTCACTATACAGGTACTGTCCAAAGTGGTGTTTGTAGATTAACTCTTAGTTCCTTGAATAACTCTATATAATAAGGTAGACAGTTACAGGTATCTACAGTTTCTGGATAAGGAAGATTAAGACTGAGGGATACTGAATAAATTGTCTAAAGTCATATGGCTAACACACCTTAGAGTTGGGCTTTGGACTTGGCTGAATTTTGGCCTATACTTTGAACAGTACTCAGTTGAGAACCTCCTAATCTTTTTTCCCCCTGTACTGGGGATCAAACTTAGGACCTTGCGCTTGCCAGACAGGCAGCAGCACCACTGAACTAAATCCCCAGCCTGAGCCTCCTAATTAATAATGTCTTAGCCATTGTATCAGTGTGTCTGCTGTTTGAAGGTTGATTGCCAGACTGATACATATAAAAATCACTGTTTAAGAAAACATAATGTCCTAAGGGCCGGGAATTTAACTCTGGAGCTGTCGCCTGCCTTCCAAGCACAAGAACCCAAGTTAGATTCCTGGTACAAAAAAAAAAAAAAAAAAAAAAAAACAAAAAAAAAAAAAAAAAAAAAAAAAATCTATATAGATATAGATAAGAATATAGATCCCTGCCAGGCATGTTGGCGCACACCTGTAATCCCAGCATTTGGAAAGCTGAGGCAGGAGAATTGCCACAAGTTTGGGAGCAGCCTGGGCTACATAATGAGTTCAAGGACATCTTGAACTATATAGTGAGACCCTGTCTCAAAAAACAAACAAAAAAACACATATGTCCTAAGGTATTTTTTAAAAAACAATCATACTGCCTTGATTGGATTATTGATCATATTGTTCTGTAGGCATAATACAGAAAATCACCAGTTCATGCTTAATCTTTCTGGAAACTACAACAATGTGGACCATTGGCTTAGTGTCAGAATTTAATGGAGGCTCTTACCAATTTAGGAACTTTTTTTTTACTCAGTAGTTTATTATGATTTATAAGTGTCATTTTAAAACATCAGTCCATTATACCATGTAGAAATAGTATGCGAAAGTCTGTAAAACAAAATACAAACACATTTAAGTGAATAGATAATCTGAAATTTCAAGATTATTTAGTCATTTCATTGTTATGCAAGGTAGACAAGTAATCCTTAACTTCAGTTGCAGTAAAGCCTCCCGAATCCAGTTCCATTGTAGATTCCAGCTTCTATGTTATCCTGTCCTTTAAAGCTTTCCTTTGGAATTAAGACAGCTATAAGATGACAACTTCAAGCACCAACTTTTCATTATGTGTATCTCACAGAAAGTTTTCCCTACACGGTTCTTTCATTGCTGTGGCTGTCCAGACAAAGTAAATTTCAGATGGATCTAATGAAATAAGTCATCCCTCATTCCAACCACAAAGAAGAAACTCCAGCTGGGCGTGGTGGCACATGCCTATAATCCCAGCACTGGAGGCTGAGGCAGGAGGATTGCTGTGAGTTTGAGACCAGCCTGGGCTACATAGTGAGTTCCAGGTCTGTCTCAACTACATATTGAGACCCTGTCTCAAAAACCAAAATAAATAAAATACAGGCCCCCAAAAAAATGCTTAAAAAAAAAAGAAACTCCAAATGGATGA